CCGGTAGCTGCGTCCACCCAGGTTGCTGCCGCGTGCTCCTGTCGGTCCCTCACTCACCCGACTCTCCTTTGGCACCACCGCCTTGGTCACCCTGCACTCCCACGTCTGCGTCACATGTCCCAGCACGGTCTCGTCCTTGGTCTCCCCGGTTCGTTCCCCGAGTTTCCCTCCTCCCCCGCCCCACCGTGCACGCCTTGTGTCGAGGGCCGGCTCCGCCGTGCCCCTCACTCCTCCTCTTTTCCCCCTACCACCGCACCACTGCAGACTCTGCACATGGACGTCTGGGGCCCAGCCCCGGTCCATGGGCCGCGTCGCGAGCGCTTCTTCCTAGTGCTTGTCGACGACTTCACGCGCTACACCACCGTCTTCCCCCTGGAGCGGAAGGCCGACGTGCCTGACGTTCTCATCCCCTGGCTTGTCTCTGCTCGTGTCCACCGCGGTCTCCCTGCCTTGCGCCTCCACTCCGACCGGGGTGGCGAGTTTGCCTCAGGTGTCCTTGGTCGCTTCTGTCGTGCGGAGGGCATCACCCAGACGTTTACCCTGCCGGACTCCCCGCAGCAGAATGGGGTCGCTGAGCGACGCATCGGTTTGGTCATGGAGGTGGCTCGCACCTCCATGATCCACGCCGGTGCACCCCATTTTCTGTGGCCGTTCGCCGTGCGCTACGCCGCTCACCAGCTTAACCTGTGGCCGCACCCCCAGCGGCCGCAGGTTTCGCCGACCCTTCTGTGGACCGGGTCCCCTGGTGACGCGTCTGCGTTCCACGTCTGGGGCTGCCTTGCCCACGTTCGTGCCTCTGGCACGGACAAGCTCACTGCCCGCACCCTCCCCTGCGTCTTCCTCGGTTTCCCCCTTGACGCGTCTGACTGGCACTTCTACCACCCGCCGTCCCACCGCTTCTTTCACTCTCGCGACGTCACCTTTGACGAGTCCGTCTCCTTCTACCGCCGCTTCCCTCACCGTGGTCCCCCGGTTACTCCCCCCCTGTTCCTGGTCCCTCCTTCCCCGGTGGTCCCTGCCCCTCCCCCCCCCCCCCCCCGCCCCCCCGTCCGGCCCCCTCTGGTGTGTCTCACGTCACCCCCCTCCCGTCGGTCGTCCCGGTCGACGAGTCTTCTGCCTCTGGTAGTCCTCCGGCGCAGTCCTCGCCGTCTGTCTCTCCCCCGGTGTCTCCTCCTCCCCCGCCTCCGCAGCCGCCTTCGCCGCAGCTGCTGCAGCCGTCGTCTCCACCGCCGCCGCCGTCGCAGCCGTCGCTGCAGCCGCCGTCGCCGCCGCCGCTGTCGTCGCTGCCGCCGTTTGTGGACTCTGGGGGTGCTGGCGGGGTTTCGGGCTCTGGGGGTGTCCCTTCTGGGGGTGCAGGTGTCGAGGGTTCGGGAGGTAGCCGTCGCGCAGCTTGTGGCCCTGGTGTTGGTGTTGTGTCGCCGCAGCAGCAGTCCCCGCCTGTGACCGCCCTCCGTCTGCTCGGCCTCCCGTCTCCTGACCCTGCGCCTGTTCCTCTCCTGCCGTCTCCCCCTCTTCCCGTCTACGGCCCCGTGTTCCCTCTGCCGGACTCGTCCCCGGCTCGTCTTCCCCCTCGTTCCCCTCCTGTGTCCCCTCCTCTGTCTCCTGACCCGACGCCGCCCTCACACGTCTGGTCTCGCCGCCCCGCTCGTGCTCGTCCTGTCTCCCCTGTCCCGCGCTCTCACCCTATGTTGCTCCGTTCCCACGCGTCTCGTCCTCCCCTCCTCCCGTCTCCTCCTCCGTCTTCTCTTGTCGTTGCGTCTCCTCCTCTGTCCGACTACTTTCGTGCCGTTCGTCCTCTTGTTCCTCGGGTCCTTGCCTCTCTCGTTACCGACCCGTCTGTTCCCGTGTCGAGTCTTGACGCCCTCGTCGCTGCGGTCGCTGACTTCGCCTCTACCCGCCGCCTTGACTACGCCACCGCTCTGGTCTCTCACCCTGCCTGTCCTCCGTCTGTCGGGGGTGCTCCTGCCCTCGGCAGTGACGTCCTAGAGGACCGCCAGTTTGAGCTTGCTTTCCTGTCCGAGGCTGCTCCCCATCTCTGTTCCATGCTGCTAGTCCCTGAGGGTGACCCAGACGCTTTCGACATCCCGACCCCTCGTACTTACGCTGAGGCGGTTTCGGGACCCTGGGCCTCTCAGTGGATAGCTGCCATGGAGCAGGAGATGGCATCTTGGAGATCCACCGGCACCTTCGTCGACGCAGTTCCCCCACCTGGGGTGAACGTGGTTGATGGCCGCTGGCTCTTCAAGGTGAAGCGCCCTCCTGGAGAGCCGCCTGTCTTCAAGGCGCGCTACGTGGCCAGAGGCTTCAGTCAGCGCGAGGGGGTGGACTTCTTTCAGACTTTCGCTCCTACCCCGAAGATGACTACTCTTCGGGTTCTGCTACACGTAGCGGCTCAGCGTGACTACGAGCTTCACTCCCTCGACTTCTCCACTGCCTTTCTTCAGGGCAGCCTTCACGAGCAGGTCTACCTGCGTCGCCCTCAGGGCTTTACTGGCACCTTCCCCCCTGGGACCCAGTGGCTTCTGCGGCGGCCAGTCTACGGCCTGCGCCAGGCGCCTCGTGAGTGGCACGACACTTTGCGTGCTACCCTTGCTGACCTGCAGTTCTTTCCGTCCTCTGCAGACCCCTCGCTCTTCGTTCGTGCTGGCTCGACTCCGTTCTACATCCTCGTCTACGTAGACGACCTGGTCTTTGCCACTGCTGACAGGGACGCACTGGCCTCCGTGAAGGCAGAGCTGCTGAAGAGACACACCTGCACTGACCTTGGAGAGCTGCGCCGTTACCTTGGCTTGCAGATCTCCAGGGACAGAGCCGCGCGCACCATCACCCTGACTCAGTCACACTTGGTGCGCCAGGTCCTTCAGAGGTTCGGCCTTCAGTTCTCCTCCGCACAGCCCACCCCTCTTCCTCTGGACCACAGACTCTCCGCTCCAGTTCCTGAGGAGTCGGTAGATCCCAGTGGTCCTTACGCTGAGCTAGTGGGTTGCCTCATGTACCTTATGACTTGCACTCGCCCAGATCTCGCATACCCTCTCAGCATCCTGGCTCGTTTCGTGGCCACAGGCAGGCACCGACCTCAGCACTGGTCTGCCGCTAAGAGGGTTTTGCGTTATCTTGCAAGTACATCGGGCATGGGGTTAGTGCTCGGCGGACGCAGGCCAGTGGTCCTTACTGGACACACTGACGCTTCTTGGGCAGACGACGCCGAGACGCTCAGGTCTTCTCAGGGCTACTGCTTTAGCCTTGGCTCAGGTGCTGTCTCGTGGAGAGCTACCCGCTCTTCGTCTGTTGCCCAGTCCAGCTGTGAGGCAGAGATCTACGCCGGTGCCATGGCGGCACAGGAGCTCCGCTGGCTGACCTTCTTGCTCACTGACTTAGGTGAGCGGCCTAGCTCTGCCCCGGTCCTGTACGCTGACAACAGGGCCATGATCCTCCTGTGTCAGGAGCCTCGACTCGAGGGCAGAGCGAAGCACATCCAGCTGCGGTACTTCCTCCTGCGTGAGCTACAGCAGCGTCGCCAGGCTCGCGTAGTACACTTAGCCTCCGGTGCCAACACAGCTGATATCTTTACGAAGGCGCTTGCGCCTAAAGATCATCAGCGGCACTGTGTACAGCTTGGTCTGGTTCCTGTAGTCTCTCACTTACTCGGGCCTTGACTTTGTACTGTCCTATATATCTGTGTGTACACTCAGACTGGACTTGTGTCCTCTTACAGTGGTTGGACTAGTAGTGCCGCCCTGTACTAGTTCTTGCCTTGCCTGTACTCCTTCTGACTGGTCTTTTAGACCCTTGTCTCAGAGGCTGGACTAGTAGTGCCACCCTGAGCTGCTTGTCTAGAACATTCCCCTATGCAGTCCAGGGGGTGTGTCAAACATGTTTAGTTATCATGCTTGTATAGACTGTATAGGGTCATCTTCTAGAGAGTACAACTGTTAGGTATATGTTTGTGTACTCTCTCTCTCTCAATTATCAATTTCACTGTTTGATAGAAACACACTATACTCGGTTTCAGCGTTCCCCCCTAGAGTCACGCTGTTTCGTCAGGCTACAGGTACAAAGAAACGCTGAAAAATCAGTATACGTTACGAAAGAAAGGCTGATTTTTCAGTGTTACTTATCCAAAAAAGGCTGAGTGATCAGTGTGTACCCTAAAAAAAAGTCTGAAAAAACCCTGAATCAGCGTAAAAAGGCTGATATCTAGGACCCTGAACACAAACCTATCTAGCCTATAATTTCTACATATAGACATATGTATAAGTTGACAGTATGCCATTTCCTAGTCAACTCGCTGCCTTGAGAACTGGAGCAGTGGGGACAAGGAACAGGGACTGGGTAACAGGGAGACCTCGGTGGGGGAAGCGGGTGTAGAAGGAGACATATTTGTCAAAGATGACGTTTCGTGAGTGAAATGCGCATGTATAAGTTTACATGGGATATGTAGGCTACATTAGAAGCTTCGATTCATTGCAGATTGTGGTTACAATTTTCATCTTTTGATTTTCGCTACAGGTGCTACACTGTGCAGCCGTTGGGATGAATCCATGATTTTTTGCAAGTACTAATAACAAATTCTCATTGTTTATAGACTCATTGGGTAGGAGAAATGAACAATTCCGTTACCGTATTATGTCGGGTGACACAAAAGCCTACAATGCTCGGCGGGAGGAACCTTGATAGTGTATTGCCACGATAGAGCACATAGCACCCCCCCGTTTCCTGACCAGGCTAGCTTCTCGGGTCGTTCGACTCGGATGTCAGGTCAGGAGTTTCCAGTCAGTTCGATAAGGGCGTGTCCAGCGTGTACGTTTACAGTACACGGATCACGGTTCAGTAGGATATATCGCGATCAGGAGCGGTTTTTGCGTTTCACCACGTTGGACCTCTGCAAAACATATTGAACCGTATAAAGTGGATTGTAAACGTACACGCTGGACATGCCCTAAGGCACAGCATCTGTTTCACCATATGCTGGTATGCATCGTGATCAGTCCACACGCCTCAACTCAGGGTTTCTCGCAGGCCTCGTTTGACGCATTTGCCAGCCGCTCTCTGGGCTCGAATTGGTTTTCAAGAATTCTCAAATACCAATTCAACTCAGACCACGCGCCTCAACTTAGGGTTTCTCGCAGACCTCGATTGACGCGTTTGCTAGCCGCTCTCAGGGCTCGTTCAGGCGTTCGCCTACCACCGTCTCCGGGATCGTTTAGGTTCGGGGCTCGTTCAGGCTCGGGTTCGTTCAGGCGTTCGCCTTGCACCGTCGCAGGGCTCGTTTTCAGGGTTCTCTGAAGGCGTCTCCCAGGCGTCTCTCAAGGCGACTCTCAAGGCGTCTCCCAGGCGCCATGCCGGGCGCGGGAAGCGGAGGAGGAGGGGGAGGCGGGGGGCTGCGCGTGAGCACGCTGAACGGCGTGAAGGTGTACAACGTGTCGGGGGGCAAGGCCGTGCCGGAATGGATCTCGGACAAAAAGAAACGCGCGCTGAGGAAGGATGAAGGTGCGGGATCAAGGTTTAGCGTTTTACGAATGTTGACGGTTCGGGATTCAGGTTCGGGTTCGAGGTTCGTGCACTGAGTTACCCATCGGGCTGCGCGTGAGCATGCTGAATGGCGTGAAAGCGTGCAGCGTGCGGGGCGGCAAGGGAGGGGGAAAGGGTGGAGGCGGGGGAGGATTGTGGAGGGCTCTATCCCCGGGCTGCGGGGCAGGAATTTGCATCTCGGGACAGGGAGTGGATTTCGTGTGATAGCAGTGGATCTGGTGCGATAGTAGTGGATCTCAGACAGTGGAGAAGAAGGAAACGCGCGCTCAGGAATGACTAAGGTACAGCATGAGGGGTTTCGGGGGGAGGGGTTGAGGGGGGAGGGGTTGAGGGGGTGCATGAGCGGCAAGATGTGTCGCCATGGATTTCCGCCAACAAGAAACGCGCGCTTGGGAAAAACGAAGGTTTCTGGTTTCAGCACTCGTGGTGTGTCGATCACTGGTGCCTTGGATTGCCAGGAGGGTTATCAGGTTTTCAGGGTTTCAGGGTTCAGGGTTTCGTGTGTGTAGCAATCAAACGCTGGCATCGAATGCTCCCTCTTATGGCTAAAATCCCTTGCTTGTATGCTCTTGCCTGGGTATATTCGTCTGTGCATGTGGGCCAATGAGCGCACGGCGTGTTTTGCCCAGACGATCTCCGCCGCATCGAGCTCATCCAGGACTTGGAGTTCAAAGTCGCCTCTACGCGAGTCAAGCTGTGCGGCCGTGTCTTTCCATGAGTGCTCATTCCCGTGTTCCCCGTGTGCACGCCCCTCCCCTGGCCTCCCCTCTGCCCAGACTATCTTTGCCGCATCGAGCTCATCCAGGACTTGGAGTTCAAAGTCGCTTCTACACGGATCAAGGCGTCTCGCGACGGCAAATACCTTCTGGCCTCAGGTGCGTCCTAGTGCGGTTTGCTTCTGATAAGCGTTGTTAGAAAAAAACAAACAAACAACAAACGGAGCGGCCAGAGCACTTGAGACGTTGTAACTGTCCACTCCACTCTCTCTCCCCTCCCCCTCCACCCACCTTCCCTCCCCCACTCCCTCCCCCCCCCCCCTCCTCCCCTTTCCCCCCCACTCCACAACCACCCCGTTTCAATTGCTTGTCTATGAGCTGGCAGGGCTCTTGCTTATATTCGAAACCACTTAAAGCCTGCGTTAATCCCCCCCGTCCTCCCCCGTGCTCCACCTCCCTCTATTTCAGGCGTGTACCCCCCTCAGGTGCATGTCTACGAGCTGGCAGAGCGCTTGAGTCGTATTGATTCCCCCCCCCCCCCCTTCTCCCCTTCCCCCCCAACCCCCACCCCCATCGTCCCTCTTCTCCCCCACACCCCCAGGCGTGTACCCCTCTCAAGGGCATGTCTACGAGCTGGCAGAGAGTCTGAGTCACCTTAACCACACCCCCTCCCTCCCCTCTCCCCCCCCCCCTCTCCATCCCCCCCCACACCCCCAGGCGTGTACCCCCCTCAAGTGCGTGTCTACGAGCTCGCAGAGCTCTCTCTCAAATTCGAGCGCAACCTGGACTCAGAAATTGTTGACTTCCAGGTACAATCTTAGATAAATAAAAATCATTCAATTCAATTTAGTATTCCCCAGCTCAGTTTTGAGTCGACTACAAAGTCACCAGGTACAGCCTTAGTTATCCAGTATCTACAATTTCATAAAAGTATTTGTCAGGCCAATTTTATATCGCAGTACTGCCTTAGATTTTACCAGTACACTGTAGGGTCTCCGCTTTCACCTTCTCTCCCCTCTGACGTCATTGCCCAAGTTTTATGGATGTCCCTGTCTGGGGGGTTACCACATACAATACAGCGTTGAAAATCAGCCTTCTACAGGCTTAACCAAGGATGGGGAGCCTTTTGGTATTGCATGTAGTAACCCCATACTGGTACCCCAGATGTGGTTACCCAATCCTATCTTGACCCTGGCTCTGACAGGCGGCTACAGCAATATCGCCTTTCTGCCTGCATGATTATGTGAATCCTATTTTTTCTCACTCGTGCAGGCACCCCATGCCTAACCTCAACCCAGGTGCTGACAGACGACTGCAGCGAGATCGCCTTTCTGTGTGCCGACTGGTCCTTGTGCTACAACTTCAGGAAGCACCTCCTTACATTTAGTTACCCCCACCCCCCGCTTTTCCACCCATGTGGCACCCCTCCCTTCCCCCCCCCCCCCCCCTCTCTCCCCCCTTCCCCTTTGCATAACCCCAACCCCAACCAGGTGCTGACAGATGACTACAGCAAGATTGCCTTTCTGTGTGCCGACCGGTCCGTGTGCTTCCATGCCAAGTTCGGGGCTTACTTTAAGACACGCATCCCCAGGTGAGTCGACTTAGCTGTTGTGAGGGAGAGGAGATGATATATCGGGTACGGGGTGTGCCGATTGACCGGTCCGTGTGCGTCCATGCCAATTTTGGGGCGGACTTCAAGACGCATGTCCCCAGGTGAATCAACGTGCAGCTGGGAGGAGCGAGTGCGGCTTGCCTCATCTCAGGTGCACTGTGTGCTGACGGATCTCGAGGCGCCTCAAAACCAGCCGGCAGATGATTGTGCCGTGCCGATCAGTCCGTGTGCTTCCGTGCCAAGTCTGGTGCTTGCTTACTTCAAGACGCGCATCCCCAGGTGAGTCACACTTCGGTGACTCTAAGTTGATTAAAGGCCATGTACGTTGACTGTTGACTGTAGAGTTTGGGGGCTTATTTCAAAACGTGCGTTCCAGATTGGCATATGACCCGGCATCGTCCGACCTGCTGCCCAGGATGGGAATGGGCAGGATCTTGCGACCTGCTGCTCAGGCTGGGAATGCAGCCATTCCCATGCTCTCTGCGCTCTCTGCCCCTCCCTTGGCACCCACTGTCCCCTCCATGCGCTCTCCCCTCCCCATGCCCCCCCCCGCTCCCCCAGGATGGGTCGTGGCCTGGCGTACGACCCGGCATCGTGCGACCTGCTGCTTGCTGCCTCCTCGCCTGAGATCTACCGCATAAACTTGGAACAGGTGAGTGAAGTGAAGGTGGCTGTAGCAGGTGTAACATCAGTGCATATAAACAAACGCAGCCTTTCGTTTCCCCCCTGCCCCACACCCACCCACCACCAACCGTCTTCTGTCCTCTCAGGGTCAGTTTCAGCAGTCTCTGCAGTCGCGGTTGCGAGCAGTCACCATAATGGCAGCAGTTTCTCTCATGGGTTCATTACGTACGGATGGGAGGACGGCGCCCTAGAGTGTTTCATTCTACTCTCTCCCAAACCCCTTGCCCTCATGCACCACCACCTATTGTCTTTTCTCCCCTCAGGGTCAGTTCCAGCAGTCGCTGCAGTCGCGGTCGCCAGCAGTCAATGTAATCGGCCGAAGCCCCTCCCACGGGCTGATCGCGTGTGGGGGGGAGGACGGCGCCCTGGAGTGCTTCGACAACCGCCAAGCCACCGCTGTCTCCCGCATCGATGCCGTTGGGGCCACTGGGAATGCCGAGCAGGTGAGGGGGGATGATCCGGTTCAGGGCACAGTCGAGTTTAGGGGTTGAGGGCTGGCGTGCGGGGGGGGGAGGTCGGTGCTCTTGAGTGTTTTGGGAACTGCCAGTCCGCGGCTGTGTCTCGCATTGATTTCATGCTAGGCTTGAGCAACGGGTCGGGTCGGGTCGGGTAACCCGACCCGAACCCGACTTTTTGACGGGTCGGGTCAGGTTTCCCGTCGGATGAACCCGACCCGTCGGGTTTGATTTTAACCCGTCGGGTCGGGTCAACCCGAACCCGACATGGACGGGTTCGGTTGAACCCGACATGTCGGGTTGACCCGACCCAACTTCGGGTATCCATCGTCGGGTTGACCCGACCCAACCCGACCCGAAGTTGGGCCGCGCCTCGACCCGACGCAATCTGCGCGACCTGCGTTGCGCAGATCTGGAAAGTCTGACAGTTTGGTCGAATTTTCGACCAGATGGGCCATTTTCCAGATCCTACTTAGGCTATTTCCCATTTTTACCCTGCATCCAGCTCATTCCTACCACTAATCTACTCCCCACCATGCTTATCGGTATAGCTTAGGAACTAAACAGACCCAGATCGATTTCTATTGGATTGACTCAACCAACAAGCTCGTCGACACCACCACCAACCCAACCAGCTTTTCGCCAACACCCCCAACCCAACCAATTTTCGCCAACACGCCCAACCCAACCAACTTTTCGCCAACACCCCCAACCCAACCAATTTTCGTCAACACGCCCAACCAAACCAATTTTTCGCCAACACTTCCAAACCAACCAATTTTCGCCAACACCCCCAACCCAAACAATTTTCGCCAACACGCCCAACCCACCCGAATTTTCGCCAACACCCGCAACCAAACCAAAAGCTTACCAACACCCCCAAGCCAACCAATCTTTCGCCACACCCCCAAACCAACCAAAAAGTCGCCAACACCCATTCACTCCGTCACTGGTTTTCGTCAACATCCTCCAACCTAACCAATACTTCGCCAACACCCAAAACCACATGTCGAGGTTGCGGGGGGATGAGGTGAGTGGGCACGAGGAGGACTCACTGGATCTTGAAATCACGAAATCCAGCTGTTCCCCCCTGGGAGAAAAATAGCTTCTAGTTAGGTCGGGTCAAGTCGGGTCGGGTCGGGTCGCATCAACCCGACCCGACCGCGGGTAGGAGATGACCCGACCAGCTATGGTCGGGTCGGGTCGGCAAAATCCTAAGATCGACCCGACCTGACCCGACCCGACCCGACCCGAACCCGACCTCGGGTTAGGCAAAGTCGGGTCGGGTCGGGTCGGGTCGGGTTAATGCTCAAGCCTATTTCATGCCGTAGGGACCACTGGGATTGCCGTGGGGACCACTGGGATTGCCGTGGGGACCACTGGGATTGCCGTGGGGACCACTGGGATTGTCGTGGGCACCACTGGGATTGCCGTGGGGACCACTGGGATTGCCGTGGGGACCACTGGGATTGCCATGGGGACCACTGGGATTGCCGTGGGTGTTGTAAAATATATATCTATACAACATGCATGCCTAGATTAGGAGGTGTAGTCATTATATTTATTAGGGGGTTGTTGGTTGGGTTGACCAACCCCACATTTGGTTTGGTCAATGCTGGATTTGGTCCTAGACATTTGGTTGGCACTGGTCCTTGGTCCTAAGAACCAACCAATCACCAAGCACGACACTTTGTGGTTGCTTGCCTTCCAAGCAACCTCTCCCATTGGTCCACATTGTGGCCAATAGGATAGCACCACACTTTGTAGTTGCTTGTCCTCCAAGCTACCTCTCCCATTGGTCCACATTATGGCCAATAGGAGAGCTTCCCTTCCACCTCTTCCTTGCTCCTTGTTTGTACAATAGAGCCTCTTGCCTCCCTACTCAATTATTCTTTTCTCCTCTAAGCTAGTTCCTTAAGTGGGGACCACTGGGATTGCCGTGGGGACCACTGGGATTGTTGAGCAGGTGATAACGGATCTGTCATTTCAGTGGTGACTTTTACAAAGTGACGGATTGCGAGGAATGGTCAGCGTTGAGGGTTCAGGCCTTAGGCTTCACAATTTAAAGTCTGTGATACTTGCGCGTAGTGGGGTTGGTGCTCTTGAGTGCGTGCCTCACCGGTTTCACGTACCCCATCCCCCTGCCATCCTCCCCAGCAGCAAGTGTCGGCAGTGCGGGTGCGGACATCGAATCGAAGGGATGCCCCCGGCTGTCGGTGTCGGGTCTTATCAACGGGCGTTGAACAGTCCCACAATATCTTCCCCTTTGGCGCTTCCTTCTGCGTCGCTTCCCCTGCTTCCCAATGCCCCCCCTGCCAGCAAGTGACTGCAGTGTGGCTTGAGGACTCCAAGGGGATGCTCGTGCTTGTGGCTGTTGCTGCTGTGAAGGCGCTTCAATGCCCCTGCCTTTCTTCCCATCCAACCCCTCCCCCTCCCCTCCCCCCTTCTCCATTTCACTGCAAGTGACAGCAGTGTGGTTTGAGGACAGTGAGGGGATGCACGTGGCAGTGGGCACGAGCACACAGTGGGTGTTGAGCCCAATCCCATACCCTCTCCTCCGGCCTTCCCCTTCTCGCGCCCTGCTTGCCCACCACCCCTCCTGCCAGCAAGTGACGGCGGTGCGCTTTGAGGACACCGAGGGGATGCACGTGGCAGTGGGCACGAGCACAGGGCAGGTAAGGGAGAGTGGGAAGATGGGGAGGGGAACAAAGTTGAGGGCTGGGTTGCGCTCGCCAGGCACGAGCCCAGGGCAGGTAGGGAGAAGTGGGAGAGAGGTGATGGGTGGGAAAGAGGGCCGTACGTGGGATGAAGGGATGGGGGGGAGGAGGGGGGAAGAGGGGATGGGGGTTGGTGCATGACTTTTGCTCCGTCAAATACGTCTGCACCTCAAACGGCCATCCCGTTTCCTTTCTCCCGCTCCCTCCCTGCAGGTGTTGCTGTATGACCTCCGCTCCTCCAAACATGTACGCAGCTCAAATTCCCGCCTCTTTCCCCATCATTATCCTCCTCCCCCTCCCCCCTGCAGGTGCTGCTGTACGACCTTCGCTCCTCCAAGCCCTACCGGATAAAGGACCACATGTGAGTCGTGGCACAGATGCTTGAGAGAGGAGGTGCTTGTGGGGAGGTGCTTGTGGTGTGGGGGAGGTGGTTTTTGGGGAGGTGCTACTGTGTGTGGTGGGAAGCTGATTTCCTCTCCCTTCTCACCACACACCCGTTTGCCCTGAACAGTACTTCAAGTGACTTTGAGTTGGCTCGGTTGTCGTCTCCCCTCCCCCCGTTCCTGTTCACCCCTGTCTACCCCCTCTCTTCTCCCCTCCCCCCGTCTTGCTCCCGCAAGTACGGCAGTCCACTTGACAGCATCAAGGGGCACAGAAGCATGGGGGGGGTCTCCAAGCACATCATTTCAGCAAATCTCCCCTCTTCCCCCGTCTCTCTCCCCTCCTTTGCCCCCCAACCAGGTACGGCAGTCCAATTCACAGCATCAAGTGGCACAGGGGCATAGCAGGGTCGTCGCAGCACATCATTTCAACGGACAAGCGCATCATCAAGATCTGGAGCCCCACAACGGTATGGTTGGGGTGCATGCTGGGGGGTGCATGTGAGGGGTGCATGTGAGGGGTGCATGTGAGGGGTGCATGTGAGGGGTGCATGTGAGGGGTGCATGTGAGGGGTGCATGTGAGGGGTGCATGTGGGGGGTGGATGTGAGGGGTGCATGTGGGGGGTGGATGTGAGGGGTGCAGGTGGGAGGTGCATGTGGGGGGTGCATGTGGGGGGTGGATGTGAGGGGCGCATGTGAGGGGCGCATGTGAGGGGCGCATGTGAGGGGCGCATGTGAGTGGTAGGGGCGCATGTGAGTGGTGCATGTGAGGGGTGCATGTGAGGGGTGCATGTGGGGGGTGGATGTGAGGGGTGCATGTGGGGGGTGCATGTAGGGGGTGGATGTGAGGGGTGCATGTGGGGGGTGCATGTAGGGGGTGGATGTGAAGGGTGCATGTGAGGGGAGCATGTGAGGGGCGCATGTGAGGGGCGCATGTGAGGGGCGCATGTGGGGGAGTCAAAAGGGGCTAAGGGAGTCAAAGGGAGCTAAGGGAGAGTTCATGCAGCGCAGTGACCCAGAAACTCCTCCACCCCACCCTCATGCCCTCCCTCTTCTCCCCTCCCTCCCCCAGGGCGCCAACGTCACAAGCGTGGAGCCGACCGAGCCGGGCGGCATCAATGACGCGTGTGTGATGCGGGGGAGCGGGCTGATCGTGACCGCCATGGACTCGCCGCGCATGCAGGCCTACTTCATACCCTCGCTCGGGCCTGCACCCCGCTGGTGCTCCTTCCTTGAGAATATCACCGTGAGTCTGTGAGCCCCCATGAGAGGTAGTGGGAAGACTGGGGCATGAAGGGGCTGATCGTGGCACCCATGGACTCGCCGCGCATGCAGGCCTACTTCATTCCCTCGCTTGGGCCCACCCCGCGCTGGTGGTGCTTCCTAGAGAATATCAGTGCGCGTAGGTAGGGGGTGTGCGTTTAGTGGGGATGGCGGTTTTTGAGTCGACTCAAAAGTCATCTCGTTTTGAGTCGACTCAATAGGGGGTGTGCGTTTAGTGGGGATGGCGGGCTGATTGACGCAGCCATGACGCTGAGGCTCACAGAGCTGTTTTTTTTTGCAACCCATTTCTTTCAAGCGGTCTTTCATATTCATGGGCATTCCGAGTACAGAGCTAGACATGTAAGGTGAGTACAAGCACGCACCCTATCACCGTTTTTTATATTTTACGATCGTGGCATTTTTCTCCCTCTCTCCTCCCTCCCTTTCCCCCTTCACTAGCTACAGGAGGAACTCGAAGAAGGGGGATTACAAGAGAGGACGTACGGCGACTTCAAGTTCATGACCAGGGAGGAGCTGCACGCGCTGAGGCTCACAGAGGTGCCCTTTCCCCCTCCTCTCCCCCCGCCCCTCCCTCGTCTCTTCCCCCTCCACCCCGCCCCTTTCTCGCCAGGAGGAATTGGAGGAGGGCGGAGCAGCGATGTACGATGACTACAAGTTCGTGACGAGGGAGGAGCTGCACGCCCTCAGGCTCACAGAGCTTCTGGGCACCAACCTGCTGAGGCCCTTCATGCACGGCTTCTTCCTGCACTCAAGGCTCTACCACAAGGTGCTACTTAGCTAGCGGTATGGTTGTACCACATGCTATTCTGGTTGACTTCTTTTGTACTGTTGTACCTCTCTGCCATTCCCTTACGTCCGCCCCCCCTCTCACCACCCGCACTCCCATCTCTCCCCCTTCCCGTATTTTCTCCTCTCTCTCACTTTCCACACTCCCATCTCTCCTCCCCTTCCCCCACCTTTCCTGCCCAGGACAAGTCAAAAGCCGATCCATGTGCATGGGACGCATATGGTCAGCAGAGAGTAAAAAAAGGCTCGAGCTTTCTCTCCCTCCCCCCCATCTCCCTTCTCTCTTTCCCCTCTCCCACCGCCCTCTTCATCCTCCCTTCCCCAGGCCAAGTCCATAGCAGACCCATTTGCATGGGACACGTATCGCCAGCAGAAAGTGAAGGAGAAGATAGAGGCGCAGAGGGCCAGCCGCATATCGGTGAGTTTGCTGCACGTGCGCGTGTCCGTGTGCGTGTGGGTGTATGACGTGGCACTCCTCTCTTCCCTCCTGTCTTCTGGCCTCTCTCCCCATTTTTGTCACCCTCTCCCTGCTTTTCTTCTGTTTCCGCTTGCTTCTGTCCGCTGCCTTCCCTCCCGATCCTGCAGATGCAGAAGAAGCTGCCCAAGGTGAACGCCAAGCTGGCCGCACAGCTGATGCAGCAGAGTGGGGGGGCGCAGGAGGAGGAGGAGGAGGATGAGGAGGTGGAGGAAGAGGAGGAGGGGGCGGGTGGGAAGGCGAGGAAGCAGCGCAAGGCTGCTGCAAGTGCACTGGCGGACCCGCGTTTTGCATCCCTGTTCACGGATCAGGTAAGGAAGGCATGACAGAGTGTGGTAAGCAGGCCAGAAGGTGAGGGGGGCAAGAGTAGGAAGACTGGGGGGGGGGGGGGGTGGGAGGGCGAGGAAGCAACGCAAGGCTGCTGCGAGTGCACTGGCTGTCCCCCCTTTCGCGTCTCTGTTCACCGATCCGATGTTTAAGAATAGGTGAAAGAGTGCTGTCTGTATGTCACATGAGTGTGGGGCACAAGCGTGGGTGTGTGTGCGGCACGAGGGTGAGTGGGAGGCACATCTCTGCACGGTGACATGCGGGAAGGGGTGGGGGAGATGCAGCATAGATCAAGTATCCTGTTCACCTCCTTGTTCTCCTCGTCCCGCAGGCCTTTCAAGCGGACGAGGATCACATGACTACCTGGCGTTGCATGGGGGCATGCGGGGAGGGGCAGAGGAGAGGCGCTCCATTAATCCCCTGCAGCATCACAACCATTTCTTCTTTCTTTGTGCTGTTTGCTCATCCTCCCCTGGTGTCATGTTCGTCTCCCCCTGTGCAGGCCTTTCAAGTGGACGAGGTTTCTCACATGGCGTTGCACGGGGGCACGCGGGGAGGGGCAGAGGAGAGTCGGTATGAATTGAGTGTCCTATTCGATTCACCCCTTCCCCTACTTTGAGTGCAGGCCTTTCAAGTGGACGAGGACTCTCACGAGTACATGGCTCTGCACGGGGGCATGCGGGGGGGAGCAGAGGAGAGGCGGCAGCAGCAGAAGCGAGACAAAGAGCTCCTGGAGGAGCACTTTGAGATGGTGGAAGGGGAGGAGGATGAGGAAGACGAGGATGGGGATGAGGGAGAGAGGGGAGGAGAGGACGAGGAGGAAGAGGAGGAGGAGGACGAGGAGGAGGAAGAGGAGCATGAGGAGGAGGAGAGGGGTGGAAGGGGTAAGAGGAAGCTGGTGCACGGGAGGGAGGAGCAGGGTGGGGCGCGGAAGAGAGGAGTGAAGGAGCCAAGGTAAAGGATCACAGCAATCCCCAAACCGTTGATTCAAGGAGAAAACTTTAGACCGCTGAGCTGATACAGTACCGAGAATTACAGACACCGCACTAGAAGAGAGGAGTGAAGGAGCCAAGGTAAGAATCTGAGGGTCTGACCACCGGATTCCAACCACCGCATGAGTCCCCTCAGCCCACATGAGTCCCCTCAGCCCACACTGGTCCCCTCAGCCCACACCAGTCCAGATTTCGAAAAAATCTGGAATACACATTCTGTTCGTTCTCAGCCGTTCACTTATGCCCGTCAGTATCTTCACCTCAGCAGCCTGTTGATTGTACTCTTCTTTGTTCTCACTCTCTCCTTCCTTCACTCACTCCTTCCCTCCACTCGCTTCCCTCCTCAGGCTGTACGAAGCGCGGGACGACACGCATGCAGCAGCCTTCAGAAACCGACAAAGTCTTGCCGCCCAGAAGAACCTGCCCCTGGAGGACAGAATCGCGCAGCTCCCGTCTTCTAGCGGTCAAGTTGCCGCCCAGGGCGGTTCTGTACGGAGGGCGGGCGGCGCTGTTGAGTTCACTGTAGCACTGCAGTCAAGGAGAAGAGGGGGTGGGAGAGGGGAGGGAGGGAGAGGAGGGAGGGGAGGGAGAGGAGAGGGTGGGAGAGGAGGTAGGGGTGGGGGGAGAGATGGGGAAGGGAGGAGTGAGGGGAGGGAGGGGAGGGAAGGGAGGAGAGGGGTACAGTCTTTGAGGCTGCCGTCTGAAAGGCCGGCATGGAGGGGAGGAAGAGGAGGAAGAGGAGGGAGAGGGAGAGGGGGAGGTGGGAGAGGAGGGGGAGGAAGAGGGAGGGGCCGAGGTGGGAGACGCTAAGCCGCCGAGTCAAAAGCCATGAGGGGGGGGGGGGGGTTCAGGGAGAGGAGGGCTATAATTTCCTGGTAGGCCGAGGTGGGACATGCTGGTATCTCTGGGAAGATTGAAGGAGAAAGGAGGGGAGGGAGGGGTGAGAGAAGCGGGGTTGGAATAGCCTCTGAGTTGATTGAGCTGCTGTTGTTTGAGTTGGAACATGAGAGAATCTGGATTGTGGCGAGTGTTGGTACGAGAATCACCTCATCAAGTGTTCTTTGCGTGTCGCTGTGTGTAACTCGATCAACCTCTGGAAACACCCAGGGGTGATTTGTTTTTAGTACTACTCTGGTCCTTCACACATATGTTCTGGTACTTGAATGGTGTGAAACAGAATTGATGAGCAATTCGATTTGATCACACTGGCACTATTATATAAAATAGCGCGGCTTCGCATGTGGTATCCGCACCAGGCCTGTCGTTATCAGGGTATTTTACCCTGATTCCCTGATTTCACAGGGTATTTTTTTGGCCAACCCTTAATCTTCAGGGTTGGGCTTTTTTGAACCCTAACCTCTTCAGGGTTGTATGTCTGTGAACACTGAGAATTTCAGGGTTTGCGTTATCCCAACACTGAGTTTTCAGGGAGTAACGCGTACGAACCCTGAGTGCGACATCCATGTGGCTCACAATGCGGAAATTTAGGCGAAGTCCCCAATCTCCAGAGACATTCCCCCCCACACGCAACAACCTACAAAAATTGGTGAAGTCCTCAAACATTCCCTCACACACCAAGCAACCCACAAAAATCGGCTAAGTCATGTGTCGTACAGACATCCCCCCTACACACTAACAACAACCCACAAAAATTAGCTAAGTCTATGAAAATGTAACGGTCAAGATCGATTGCGATCGTTTCGACATACTTAAACCGTTAGATGGTCACATTGATCAACGTCCAAGATCTCCCAGCCGGGGCGCTGCTAGGGCGCGAATTTTCTCCGACCGCCCTATTACCCAGCTTCCCCCCTCCAATCCACTTCGATTCCTCCCTCCCCTCCATTTTCGCTCCCCCCACTCCCCCTCCGTTTCGTTTCCCCCCTCCCCTCCATTTCGATTCCCCCATCTCCCCTCCGTTTCGCCCCTCGCATCTTGGTTTTGATTCCCTCCCCCTTTCTTCCTTGGTTTCGACTCCCCCTCCCCTTTCTTTCGATCCCCCCTTCCCCTCCGTTTCGATCCCCCCTTCCCCTCCGTTTCGATCCCCCCTTCCCCTCCGTTTCGATCCCCCCTTCCCCTCCGTTTCGATCCCCCCTTCCCCTCCGTTTCGATCTCCCCTTCCCCTCCGTTTCGATCCCCCCTTCCCCTCCGTTTTGATCCCCCCTTCCCCTCCGTTTCGATCCCCCCTTCCCCTCCGTTTCGCTTCTCCCATTCCTCGACTGTATTTCGAACTTCCCCCACCCCCCAACCCCCACTTTTTCCCTCCCCGTTTCGCTTCTTCTCTTCCCCTATGTTTCCATCCTCCCCCTTCCCCTCCGTTTCGCTCTCCCCCTCCCCTCGGTTTGATTCCCTCCCCTTTTTCCCCCCATTTTTAATTCCCCCCTCGTGTTGAAGGCAACCCTGAACGCGCTCGGTGAACCCTGGGATTTTCAGGGTTCCACATTTCTGAACCCTTACAGATCAGGGTAGGCAATTTTTGAAACCTGAGCCCTCAGGGTAAACGTTTTTTTTTATTCGACAGCTCAGGGGGGGTTTTTTTGAAACGTCAGCCCTGATCCGCACGCATGCCCACAAAACGTTTTTATTCCAGTTCTATTGAGTATCACCCTGAATTCATGTTCGTTTTTTGTTTATGTATGGTACGACCCTTCTGACGGGTTGGCGACTTCAGCGATTTGCGTGTCAAACGAAATCGCGTGTGATTTCTTCCCCTGGAACCCAACTCGTTTTTCAAGTTGGGACCACGTTGGCTTCTCGGGGCTTGAATGGGGCTTGCTATTTTAGCCTGCAAAGAGGACCAAGAACTTCAAAGATTGTGCCGGCGCGAGTTGTGATTTTTTGAAATTCACTACGAAGCCCGCGGCTGCAAGGTCGGTGATGATTATGGAGCGGTTGTGAAGTGCCTCCGTTCGAGTGGCACTAATGAATAGGATATCATCGACGTATGGAATAAGGCGGATGCCACGGCTACGCTAGCGTTTGGAGAGTTGCTTAATTAACTGGGTAAACACAAATGGCGCTGTAGCCAGCCCGAAAGGCAAGGAGAGGAATTGGTAGTCCTGCCCTTGCAGGGAGAATCCGAGAAACCGCCAAAAAGCGGGGTGAATGTCGACGTGGTGGTACCCAGATTTGAGATCGATGGTGAATAGCCAATCGCCTTCTTGCACCAAATCAGGAACGCGAGTAAGTCCTTCGTATCGAAAACGACGCACCGAGAGGAATGAGTTGACATGCCGCAAGTCCAATATCAGCCTCTTTTTAGAGGGTTGGACAATCACGTTTAATGGGCTAACGCATGTAAGGGTTGCGGGAGGAGGTACGACCCGAGCTGCGCCGGTGGCGAGAAGCTCGGCCACTGCACCTACAGCGAAAGATGTTAATTGCAAGGCACCGGCATGATTCTTAGTACGAGACGGGGGGGGCTCAGAGGCAACCCATGGTAGACGATATCCAGATGTAATCACCGATAGAATCAAGCGGCTGTCGCACCAGGCGGACCACCATGCAGCGCGGTCATGGAGGCGGCCTTGCATGCGGGTAATCTTGGTTGCATCATCGGCATAGGCCGAAATGGTTCCGAGCTCTGGTGGGAGAGGGAACACAAATAGGGACAGTAGAGAGTCAGGAAGGTGCTTCACCTCATTTAGTTCCGACCTCGACAAGGGTGTTTTTTTTTTTTTTTTTTTTTCGGGAAGGAAGGCAAACGCTAATTATAGGTGCCCACTCGCTCGCTATTCTTCGGCCACGTCATCCCTTAAGTAATAAACCATTGGATTGGGCATGTCAACTTGGCATACTGGGCTGTAGTTGGTGGTCATATATGGTGATGACATAGAAATCTTGTTATGAGTCTTATCAACGGCAGTCTTTAGAGGACACACACACATTGTGTAAGCGTCTTGTGGGCACGTTCATGTCTTCTTGCACACGCCCAACGGGCGAGACCATGTGGTCGTATGACGCACGTATTAATCTTACTTGAGTGCAATAATATGTGTGTATGTTGTTGTCGTTGGTTTTTTTTTTTTTTTTTTTTTTTTTTTTTATATTAAGAACGCTACAACATCGGAGAGGTTAAGCAATCTTTACACAATCTTAGCCGGCCGATTGGCCCCCTGGCCCCTTTGGGGGCAATTAGCCATCCCATGCCCGGGTTCACGACAATAGAAACAACGGCCGTCGCCGTCCCTACGCCATGTGTTCCAAAGGCGCTCCCCTTGGCCTCGAGGGCGAAGAGGGGGTTCAGGACGGGATGTGGAATGGGTGGGCCGAGTGGACCTCTTCTTGCTAGCCGCTACAATCTGAGAAGCAGCCTTGACATTCTTATCCTCTACCACTTCCCCGTACTTAATCTTAAGGGCCATATTGGCCACTTCAAAACCGCGTTGATCGGCGGTAAACAAAAAATGAATCTTTTCTTCCGCCTCCTCTACTATCTGCTGGAGATAGTCGGCGGCTTGTTCACCACCATCAGGTGGTAGAACCGAGATAGCATGACGTGCAATAGCTTGAATGCGCTCAAAACTAAAAAGTTGCGCACGAATGCCATCGCTTTTAACTAAGGAAGAGCGCAACTGAGGACGTGCAGGTGGAATAGGAGCAAGGGCGAGCGCTGCAGAAGCGGATTTTGGGCGGGCAGCATTACCTTCGTCGAGCGTGGCATGGGGTGCTTCCTCGTCCATTTCGTCGTCCACGGGCTCGGGGGCGGGCGCCGGGAGGCGAGAGCGTGGGGCTGCCGCCACTGCGACGCGTGCTGGTTCCGGAGGCGGTGCTGGATCGGCGCCGTTGCCACGCTGGAGCGCCGCAAGAAGACCAAGAACGTGGTGAATGGCCTCATTGTTGGTGCCGGCGTAAACATTATTGTCGGTGTAGCGAGCAGAATGATTTTCTGCAGAATGAGGCGCCGTGGATGCAGTGGAGCGTGCTGTAACGCGTTCGCCAGCAACAGCTCCTGTGAAGATTCGCTGAAGATTGCGCTGGGCTGCAGGATCCAGGCGCGCAATCCTTTCGGCGATTTCTGCTGCTCCAGGGGTCGAGATCTGCGGATTTTCGCGCGGATTCGCTGCAGCAGGGGGAAAATCCGTCCGGCGATCTGCGCGATCCTGGTCCCGATTCTGGCGATCTTGGCGAATCTGGGGCGCTGGGGCATTGAGATCGCGCTCATGATGACGCCCTGCGCGCGCAGGATCACGATCATGATTGTGGTCCTCGCGTGAAGGACCGTCATGATTGCGTTCGGTAGGTGGAGGGCGTGACGGGGCATTTTCGGCAGGCGGGTTCGTGTCGACACGGTTCTGCTCGTCACGCCGCTCGCCTTGAAATCCGGGGGGGAAGTCGCGATTGCGTGACGTGTTACGATCCGCGTCCCCCGCCGCGTTTTCAACGTGCTGAACAGGGTCTTGACGCGCGCCACTCAGCAAATCCAAAGCGGTAACGGCGCCGTTACCTCCGCCAGGACGAGGAGAACGAGAGCGTTCTCTATGCTGAGAGGAAGAGTTTAGGTCCCCCTCACGTACAGGGGACCCACGCCTTCCACCACTCCTAGTATTCACGCGAGGAGCGGGAGGCCTACCACTTGCAGCGGAAATAAGGCCGCTGACCATTGTAGAAAATCTAACAGAAAAAAACGTCTTGCAGTAAGAGACTCCTATGCCCAGATCTGGGCATAAGAGAGGTTTAGAGTGTGCTGGTGGTATGCAAGTTGGAACAGAAAAATGCAAATGAGACTAGGTGGCAGGTCTGAAAGACCTGCCGATAGATGAAGGAGTTTGTCTCCTTTACAACAAACTCCTCTTCTAGTCGAATCACAATCTGTAATTTTTTCATTACAAAAAATTTCTCATGTTTTGATGTACCAACCCTGATTTTTCAGCCTTGGGGAGGGGGTCGACCCTGATTTTTCAGGGTCATTTCATGTAAGGACACTGATTTTTCAGAGTATGAATGTGGGTCGACACAGATGCGTTAGTGCCATATCGCGTATGCACCCTGAAACAAGATCTTCCGAAATTAGCAAGAATTTCCCTGCCGATGGCAGAGCGCCCCCCTTCCCCTCCCCACCTCCCATGCCGCAACCAGCAAATTTTGGCCAAGTCCCTTGCAGCTAGAGACATCCCCCCCACACCCCTGCCAGCTCAGCGAATTTTGGCTAAGTCCCCTGCAGCCAGAGACACCCCCCCTGGACCCTCGCAACC